GTCACGCCCTAACGTGCGCGTGCCACCATCATTCCGGTAGCCACAGGCCTCCGTGTCGTATTCGAGACTAGCTGACTTTGTGGTCTACTACTTGCCAGTTGTCCGTTGTGGCTGACGCCCGATTGGCTTTTTTATGCTCACTGGACGCGTACACCTTTGCCGTCGCACCCATTTGACTAGGTTTAGGCCGAAGATTGGGCGAAAAAGTGCTAACCCCCGGCCATAGTTATCATTTATGTCAGCCAGACATAAATTCGATGCAAAACTAGGTGGTTGTCAACCTCTCATAGTTGTTCCGATCATTGACTAAACATACTTTCCGATAAGTACCTGACTCAGGTGTGTGCTGAAATACTTTTCCATGGAAGCACAAAGCATCAGATGGTTTCCCTTTTGTGGTTTTTAGTCTTTCTACTGGCTCTTAGCGACTCTAAGATGGTGCATCAATGCCGAATTAGGATGATTCGTAATTTGATCTGCGTCTTGCGATAGGTAGTCTGCACACCTGTTTACTTCTGTTCTATTAACAATTTTCGGTAAGAACGTAAGCTATCCTGATAGCCAATTTTATTGAGGCAAATGTTCGCATCCCAGGTATGTGTACAGAAGAAGAAGAAGGCGTTTCGATCACCGGAATCATAATTTGATTCTTCTGAGCTTTCGAGCTCTTGCGGGAGTCCATCGTCAGAGATAAACCATCAACGAAAATTGAGCAAAAGTTATAAGAGGCAGGAGCCAATCACCCATCATATGGGGGGAGGGAACTCACTGAGAAGAAGACGATCGATCGCTGGGGCAACACTTTCATTCGCCTGACGTTTCGGGATCCGTCGCGGATTCATCATCAGAGGCATAAGGAATAGCAGATACGGGTAACACGTGCACAGGAATTTGCAGTATTTATAGGATACAGTCATTGCTGCAAACAGATCACGACAATTAAGGGTAATTGCCTTCTTGTGCGTTGATAGTTTGTCGACCGACATGCGGGCTCTGGCTTGCTGAACTTTCATCACGCGTTGTGGGCTCGGAGGTGATGATTGCCCGGTCATCTGGCTATCCGGTGTTGACAGCTTAAAACGGTCAGTTATATACAGTGTTTAAATGGTCTTCGGGATAGGGGCAGAGAGGGAGAATGTAATTAGTCACCTCGGTGTTCCCTCGTCTCATGCATGCTGGCACCAGCGTGTTGAGGACGTTGGGTCCAGCGAGCAGGGGAGAGGGATGTTCTCGCGGTTGGCGTGCGTTTGGTTCCTATCTGTGTCTTCTTCTGATGTGGTTCCGGATGGCGTGGGTTCGGGTGGCATAGGATCCATTCGTGTAGTTGGCCAAGGTAGGCAAACTCCTGCTACCAGCGCCTTTTGACAGCGGAGAGTGGGCTTTCCTAAACGGATTGCCACTACTTTGGCTGTGGCGAGCACCTGTTTGCGCAGGCATTTAGAGTAGTGTGTCGGTGCCTGGTATATCACTTGAACAGCCTCCCTCGCGTCAACTTGATGGTTCTTATCAATCA